AGGGGTAATAGGGTACTATGAGCTCTTTAAGATATGAAGGGGCCTGACCATGAAGAGCTTTATAGGTGAGGAGGAGGATTTTAAATTCTATTCTACATTTTACAGGGAGCCAATGCAGAGAAGCTAGTACAGGAGAGATGTGATCTCTTTTTCTAGTTCCTGTCAGTACTCGTGCTGCAGCGTTCTGAATTAATTGGAGCGTTTTAATGGACTTATTGGGGCAACCGGATAATAAAGAGTTGCAGTACTCCAGCCTTGAAGTAACAAATGCATGGATTAGTTTTTCTGCATCTGTCTGTAATAGGATGTGTCTAATTTTCCTAATATTACGTAGATGAAAGAAGGCAGTCTGAGAGGTCTGCTTTATGTGGAAGTTAAATGACACATCCTGATCAAAGATAACTCCAAGATTCCTGACAGTGGTGCTAGAGGCCAAGTTAATGCCATCTAGAGTAACTATATCTTTAGACAGTGAGTCTCTAAGGTTTTTGGGGCCAAGAAGAGTTTAACATCAGAAAATTGCAGGTCATCCAGGATTTTATGTCCTTAAGACATGTTTGTAATTTAGATAATTGATTAATTTCATTGGGCTTGATTGATAGATATAACTGCGTATCATCTGCATAATTAATGGAGTGATTCCTAATAATGTTGCCTAAAGGGAGCATATATAAAGTAAATAGTATTGGTCCAAGTACAGAACCTTGTGGAACTCCATGACTAACTGTAGTATTTATTGAAGATTCATTGTTAACATGTACAAACTGTGAGCGATCTGATAAATATGACTTAAACCAGCTTAGTGCGGTTCCTTTAATGCCAATTTAATGCTCAAGTCTCTGTAAAAGAATATTATGGTCAATGGTGTCAAATGCAGCACTAAGATCTAATAATACAAGTACAGAGACAAGTCCATTGTCAGAACCAGTCAGAAGGTCATTATTAACTTTAACCAGAGCTGTCTCTGTGCTATGATGAACTCTAAATCCTGACTGAAAATCCTCAAATAAACTACTGTTGTGTAGAAAGTCACACAACTCTTTGGCGACTACTTTCTCCAGAATCTTAGAGAGGAAGGGGAGGTTAGAAATCGGTCTATAGTTGGCTAAAACCCCTGGGTCAAGAGTGGGCTTTTTAAGAAGGGGTTTAATTACAGCTACTTTAAAGGACTGTGGTTCATATCCTGATAATAAAGAAAGATTAATCATATCCAGTAAAGAAGTGCCAATTAAGGGAACAACTTCTTTAAGCAGCCTAGTTGGGATCGGGTCTAATAGACAGGTTGATGGCTTCAATGAAGAAATGATTGAAGTTAACTGATGAAGATCGATAGCAGAAAAACAGTCTAAATATATATCTAAGTTTACTTTGACAGAAGTTGCATTGTTGTGTGTGAAAACTTTTCACAGAACATTTTTATCTTTTCCTCCAATACGCTACAGTCAGTTCACCCAAAGTACCTGTTATATAAATTAGTTTCTCTTTGCCCAGGGATATCTCTCCATTAACATATGATTTAATATTCAGGTGCCTGAAATCTCTGCCTCCACCCCAATAAAATGCAGGTGGAAGAAATTTAATTCGTAGAGCTTTCAGTAAAGATAAAGCATTTTTAAACTTGCAACATGATTTTTTATAAAGAACTCACTGGAGGTGAATAGATGATCCAAAAACCACAGTAATACAGGAACAATTTAACTCTGTGAACAGTTTTCATGGAGAGTATTTCTTCAGAGCAGTGTGTGAACATTCCATTCACCTCCTTTGTATGAGGTTGAGAAATCTCAGTGACGTTTCAAAACCTGGACTAATAAATCATACCTGCTGCCTTTTATATTAAGGAAACTAATGAACAACCTTGATTTTTCCCCCAATAATTGTCAGATTTTTGTGTCTTTATTATGCTGTTACCTGTGGTGGATTTAGTCGGTCATGAGCCCCTAGGCTATGCTTTGTGTGGGCCCCTCCATGGCTGTCATGTGCTGTGTAGCAATAGTTTGGGTGATTTTCTATTGTTTCTGTGAGTGAATCAGGCAAGAAAACACACTGACAATCTATCATAAACAATATAAATGATATATTAAAAGATCTAAATATGATAAATGATGAAATACACATACCATGTCTGCTAAACAATTGACCTTTTCTGTCCCTCTCCCAATTCCCACTGTCCCCCTGCCCCATGAGCTGTTGTTACATCTGCAATAACCACATTATGACCTGTTGCGTCCTGTTACTGAAACATATTACCCCAATGTTACCATCTTAATAATCAGTTACAGTGTACAGTACTAATTATTGAGGTCAGTCATGAGCCACACAGAGCTATGTCTCACTAACAGTCACAGTCTGGTTCATTGTCTCTTTAATGAGTAAAATGTGTTTGTTAGTAATGACAAAAATGTGATCATATCCTAATGTTGTCTGAACTGTCCATTAGTTATTTATAATGAAACTGTTTGTGTAGGACGAAAAATTATTTGTAATTTCTTTTTTTAATGATAATTCCATTTTGTGTGTGTGTGTGTGTGTGTGTGTGTGTGTGTGTGTGTGTGTGTGTGTGTGTGTCCTCAGTGAAGTGTATCAGTCTCTGCAGTAGCTTCCAGCTGCAGCAGTCAGTTCAGTTTCTGTTCAGTCTGACTGAGGGAGGTTTTTGTACGACGCTTTTTCACTGTGTGAACACATCTTGACTGTTGATATAGTGATAACTCTGACAGTAGTAAACTGCTGCATCTTCAGTCTGGACTCCACTGATGGTCAGAGTGAAGTCAGAGTTTGATCCACTGCCTGTAAAACGACCTGGAATCCCTGATGCTCGATTGCTAGTTACATAAATTAGCAGTTTAGGAGTTTCTCCATCTCTCTGTTGGTACCAGTGTAAATAGTTATTACTATAGACATTCTGACTGGTCCTACATGTGATGGTGACGGAGCCTCCCAGAGCAGAGCTCACTGCTCCAGACTGAGTCACTGTGACCTGGCCTCTGGACTCTGAGGATACAGAGACAAAAACATAAAGCAGCGTCATGGTTTTGTGGGCTTCATTTCAGAGGGACGGATGTTCATAGAGGAGAGGAGTTTGATTCTCTGGACTTTACCTGTGAAGCAGCAGCAGAGGAGAGTCCAGATGAGGACGGAGATCAAAGTCATGTTTTTGATGAGGAGGATTTCTGTGTCTTCTGTTGTCATGAAGGACAGCTGTCAGTCATCCAGTGTTCAACTCTCAGGACTATAAACTCTCCCAGAGCACTGGAGCATGGTGCTGCTGATGCAAAGTGGCTCTCTATGGAAATGTATGAGAGACCATGTTCTCAGTACTGACCGGACTCACTGGGACTCTGCTTCTGTTTTTACCTTGCTACAGCTTTAAATCTGCACTTTCTATCATTCCACCATTTTAACACATTTGAACAAATTTGAACTTCAGATTATGACATTTTCATTGTCCCAATAATGCCAATGCTGTTAATGCTATACATCAATCAAAAGATATTTTCTATCTTTAGATCAAATAATTTTTCATGGATCCCTGTTTACCAACAATAGATGTCTTATTCCATATTTCCACATGTGCAGGATTATAACCAATGTCAGAATAAGATTTTCATATCATTGTTGATAGTTAATACAATCTGGGAAAAATAGCTAAAAATAATAAATAACATAGCATGAGTGAAAAATGTGCACACATGCTGTTTCATTGGGTTTCCCCATACTGGACACTTTTTGTGTATAATGTGTATGTGCACAACAACATATTAATGTTTATAAAAAAATGCTGACATATGTTGGAAACTCTTTCTAGTTAAATCTAGACAGCTAAATCTCTCTCAAACATGTGATTGAAGATATTTAACCTCATCTGCTGAAGACTTGGTCAAACCTGCAAAACTGGAATGAAAAGAAATCTAAAATATACAGGCTGAACATGCATGGGCTGACTACCAAACTGCTCTCAATTCAATTCAAATTCAATTCAAAATGGGCTTTATTGGCATGAAAGTTTTTGCCAAAGCAAAAGCATCAAAATACAATACAATAAGTCGAAATATTCAGACAATACACAATATGAAAGATATATACATTATGAACATTATATTAGTTATATACAGTGTGTGTGTGTGCGGTGTGTGTGTGTGTGTGTGTGTGTGTGTGTGTGTGTGTGTGGGCCCACTGTTTGGTTTAGAGTTTAGTTAAGTAGCATTTGATCTGAGTCTGATGAGTACAGGTAAATCATATTAAAGTGGTAAGAATTAGGAATGTTAGAGACCTGAGATAATTTAAGTTTTGAATAGTATTTTGATATTGCCAAATCTATTTTGCTTATTACAAGTGTCTGATTTTCTACAGTGTTTTGCCAATTTTGGTAAAGAGTATTTCGTTTACAATTTAGTATTTCAACTATAATATTTTTATTTTAAAGAAGTCTAATTTGGGTAATTGTGTTATTTCATTTTTGTTTCTTCTTAACTAACAAAGTAAATATTATTTGTGTTACACTGCAAACCACTGGTTAGTAAAATATTATTGCATTTATTTGAAAGAGTTGTCTGGGGTCAGTTATTTAAAATAATGTACAGTATGTGTGAATAGAGCCACTGCTTAGTCTAACAGTGTTGTTGGTTATTCATAAAGTATTAGGCTATAAAAAGTTGCACACAAAACAGGTAAACCTTCGTGGTAGCTACCTTAATGAATCGAACCCAAACACCCCATCATTCAAGTCCAAGGTGAGTTCCTTTAACATAGGCATTTACTGAGTGTTGGGGGTGCTACACATATATAAAGAGAGTTTGTTACTCTGTAAACTGTGTTCAGCTACTGTAGATGTACAATGCATTGTGGGAAAATATTAATCTCTAGATATAATTACAGTAACTAACATATCTGTATAAACCTGTCTGATGAGAGACTTGACATCAGTTGTATCAAATGCAAAGGTTAAAACATTTATCTTTGCCTAAAAAAAAAATAACGTGCGAAAAAAAATGAAAATGTGATTGATTATTTTAAATGCCACATTATTAGAACTACATGTAATTATGAGGTGTGTTTTAGTTGTATCTTGTTGCCATTTAGTTTCCATGCAGCTGTTGATTCAGATCAGTTCCTCTCAGCTGAGGGAGGTTTTTGTATGACACTTTTTCACTGTGTGAACGGTCTGCTGTAATCCTGCTGACAGTAATAAACTCCTGCATCTTCAGTCTGAACTCCACTGATGGTCAAAGTGAAGTCAGTTCCAGACTGACTCCCACTGAAACGCTCTGAAACTCCAGACTGACGGGACTGAGCATTATAAATGAGGAGTTTAGGAGCTTCTCCAAGTTTCTGAAGGTACCACTGCAAATCATTGCTAACACCTGAACTGGCTTTACATCTGATAGAGACAGTCTGTCCTGGAACAACAGACTGAGCTTTAGGAGACTGAGTCAGGATGATTTCTCCTGATGAATCTGGAAAACATGAAAAAGAGGAGAAGGGTTATTGAGACAAATCCAGCTTGGAGAAAGATGATCAACATCCAAACAGAAGAGTATCATTTCTTTAACATGGAGAATAGATGGAAGAAGGTAAATGCTGCTTGTTTCAGTGTTTCTCCATCATAGCAGAACATCATTGTGGTGAACCTGGTTGCATCCTGAAGCAAAGTTTTCAGAAGAGAGTCTCACCCTGAACAAGGAGCCCCAGGGTGGCCAGCAGTAGAGTCAGTGACATCCTCATTGTGCTGCCGGCATGTCAGTGGCTCTGAAAGGCCTGGACAGCCACTGATCAACACTGGCCTCTTAACGGCTGGGAGCAGAGAGGAAGGACACATATGCAAACACACAGAGTCAGTGAACTGTAGCTGTCCTCAACATATCATGGTGTTTCCCCCTCAGTGCTGAGAGCATTGTCCTACATATTTACATATTTACCTGTAGAGGATATTGAAACATCTTGTAGTTACAGCTGTGAGCAGTAATGTGAGTATTCTGAAGGTCTTTATGTTGCACTTTAAGGATTTCTGGTAGATGTTGACTGAAAAGTTGCAACTGATAGTTTATGGGTAACAATCAAAACCATTTCTCAGTAGCTGTTTTGGAGCTTGTGATTTAACTACATGGTCTTCCTCAGCAGATGGAGTTCACCAAGTTGTGATGGAATAGAAGCCAACATGTACAAGAAGTTCTAAAAATGCTCACAGAAATGGGAATTCGAACAACTACAATTGAATGACAACCGGGAGACTCCATCCGCTGAAGAAGATCATGTGATATGATTTACAGTTCCAGTTAGTGGATGGATGTTCCACAAATATTTTTCAAAATTGTTTTCAAGGTAAAGAATTCACCTTTATACAGTGTTAGAGAAAATGTATTTTTGCATGTTTTATGCAGTTAAAGATAATTATATTGAAATATACTGTATGCAGATATAATTATATCATAGAGGTATTCTAATGTTAGGATTCCAGTCATAATGAGATTTTCTTTAATAAACAAAAGTCTATTCAATCAATACTGAGTGAAATGGGGATGTAGGCCTACGGGTTTGTTTGGTCAATCTTTGGTAATGAAGATTTCTGATTGGTGTCCTTTTATTATTTAATGACAGGATGAAGTTGAAGAATCTGTACTCCAGTATAAATCAGAGGTCAAAGGTCAAAATCAAGAATTTTCTCATTCATTCTCCCTGGGAACATGGGATTTTGAAAGAAGCTGTGATGGAGAATGTAATTCGATTTACTGTGAGATTATTCTTTTGTCAATTTTAATAAATGTTTATTGTGTCTGTGTTTGTGTGTGTGTGTGTGTGTGTGTGTGTGTGTGTGTGTGTGTGTCCTCAGTGAAGTGTATCAGTCTCTGCAGTAGCTTCCAGCTGCAGCAGTCAGTTCAGTTTCTGTTCAGTCTGACTGAGGGAGGTTTTGTACGACGCTTTTTCACTGTGTGAACACATACTGACTGTTGATTTCATGATAACTCTGACAGTAGTAAACTGCTGCATCTTCAGTCTGGACTCCACTGATGGTCAGAGTGAAGTCAGAGTTTGATCCACTGCCTGTAAAACGACCTGGAATCCCTGATGCTCGAGTGCTAGCAGCATAAATGAGCAGTTTAGGAGTTTCTCCATCTCTCTGTTGGTACCAAGCTAAATAGTGGTAGCTGCTCCAAGTATAAACCTTAGGAGTGGTCCTACATGTGATGGTGACTGAGCCTCCCAGAGCAGAGCTCACTGCTCCAGACTGAGTCACTGTGACCTGGCCTCTGGACTCTGAGGATACAGAGACAAAAACATAAAGCAGCGTCATGGTTTTGTGGGCTTCATTTCAGAGGGACGGATGTTCATAGAGGAGAGGAGTTTGATTCTCTAGACTTTACCTGTGAAGCAGCAGCAGAGGAGAGTCCAGATGAGGACGGAGATCAAAGTCATGTTTTTGATGAGGAGGATTTCTGTGTCTTCTGTTGTCATGAAGGACAGCTGTCAGTCATCCAGTGTTCAACTCTCAGGACTATAAACTCTCCCAGAGCACTGGAGCATGGTGCTGCTGATGCAAAGGGGCTCTCTATGGAAATGCTCTGACTGACTCCAACAGGGACTTGGATTCCTCTCATGATGCTGTTTATCAATGGATCAATCACTTTATCAGAGTATTGATTAGGAATGTGTCAGTGCTCATTTGTATGAGGCTTTGCTTTCAGTTTGATGGACACATTTTCTTCCAGAATATTTAGTGAATTCCCCCTAATTCACTACCACACAGATCAACATCACTGTGGGACACATTTAAACAAACATATTCTTTTTATCTATATTTATTTATACAATATACAATAAACATATGTTTATGATCATTATTTACATTTGTCATTATTTATTGGAGAGTTGTTCTTTTGAAATATCTTATGTCATTGTTTTAATGTAACATTAATTAATAAAGATTATTTCACAAAAAAAATTAAATACATATTCATAGTTTATGTTTTAGACACTTTAACCAGTTATTAGATAAACTAGGTAAACTGGGAATGTGTTTTCTGAGTTTGTTTGTGTCAAAGTCAGAGAGCCGTGACTCTCTACAGTGAGAGGTTTTTGTACGGCGGCTCAATGAGTTTGTATCACTGTGGTTGACTTTTGGTGGAGGAACCAGACTGGAAGTTAACTGTAAGTACATTTAACTCCTTTAACAACAAATAATTTGTATGTATTCTGTTTAAATCTCATAGCTGTCGACCTTAAAGGAATATTTTGCCTAATATTTGAAATCTAATGTGTTTCTAACAATTCTTGTAGGCTTCAGAGTGTCATTAACCAGACTACAATCCACTCCAATTGATAATGTTAATTTTCTACATTCTTATCAGTTAATTGTAGAAAACGACTCAGCATTACTCTGTAAGAAGAGAAAGTCTTCAAGTTTACGTTTTACTGTTTACGATCAAGAACTCTGCCAATAGTTTTTGTTCAGTGTTTAATGTGTATGGGTAATACTCAATCTTACTCTCAGAGTAACAATATTAAAGCCATTCCACATATTTTATTATGAGAATGTCATGATTTTGAAGTAGTTCAGTAGTTAACAATATTCACTTTGAATGTTTCTGACTGTTCAATGATGATTCCTGCTTACATGAAGAGAACAAACACATATCATCATTTATCAGGTTTTAGCTTGACACAAGAAATATTTGAGATGGTTAAAACAATAACAGTGTCACAATCTTCATCTCATGTTTAACAAGGAATCTTTGACTTTTTACTTTATTATTTAAAAATTATACACTGGACTAAAAGTGAGCCAGTTTTAACGTTTTATCTTAAGTACTGAAACCTGTCTGTTGTCATGGTTCAGCAGTGATGCTTGCCTGTTGCCATGGTTACTGAGCTCAGAGAGGGAACTGAAACGTTTAAGACCAGTTTCATTCAGTCTGAAGAAGACCATCAGAACTAGAATCCTCCTCTGCTGCAACCAACAGGATGGAGTTCAGTTTACCTCATATAAACTTTATTAATCTCTCTCTCTGCAGTGGGTCGAGTCGTCCCCACCCTGACGGTGCTGGGCCCCTCCAGTGAGGAGCTGCAGCAGGGGAAGGCCACACTCATGTGTCTGGCCAACAAGGGCTTCCCCTCAGACTGGAGTCTGTCCTGGAAGGTGGACGGCAGCAGCAGCAGCAGCAGCAGCAGCAGCTGGGAGGAGAGCAGGAGCCCCGGGGTGCTGAAGGACGGCCACTACAGCTGGAGCAGCACCCTGAGGCTCTCTGCAGACCACTGGAGGAAGGTGGGCTCTGTGACCTGTGAGGCCACCCAGGGCTCCCAGACTCCGCTCTCAGAGACACTGAGGAGAGACCAGTGTTCCCAGTTCTGACCTGACTCACTGGGACTCTGATACTGGTTTCACTCTGCTACTGCTCTCTGCCTTTTTCTTTTTCTCATTACATATTTGAACAATAATGTGTTTTCAGCTCAATAATATTCCTATGAGACAGTACAACTTCACCAAAGGACTCGACATGAAAAGTCAGCAGAATTAACACATTGTCATCTTTCACTGCTTGCTGTAATACTGATGTTCCATTAAAGAATAAAAATATATTCATCCGATTTAATTTGTCCGTTTATCATTAAATACTGTATATTCATATTTGTATATATTGCTGTGTAAAACAGTGGATCCTTTTATTCCAAACACACTGAGTTGTCTCAGGGTCAGATAGTTGGATTATAACATATCAGGTGATGATGTTAGAAATATTTCTCAGTGTCCTACTCTGTACTGAACTGTGCTGTATCACATCATTTTTTTGATGATTTAATCAACAAGAGGAGATTCAAATTGTTTTGAGATTCATAAACTTTGTTAACAATAAAATTCAATTTATAAAAACAGTTAATTTTATTCTCTTTAGAGCAGAAATTATTTCATAATTTTCTGCTATGAGTTTGACAAAAGTAACTTTGTTTTTTTCAAAGCAAATGTGGAAAATATAAATATAAATGTTGTCATTCCTAAACATTTGTAAGTTTTTTTATTGAATCACTGAGTATATGTTTTTATGTCACAGCGACAATAATGTTTAAGAGCTAAAATTATGCAGCTGTCATGCTGACTTTCAATAACAAAAAATATTTAACATAAATATGAAAAATATATTCTTGCTGAAAGTGTTATTGTGGTGTTAGTTAAACAATTTATGTTAATCCATCATGTAGTGTTTTAATGTCTGTGCAGCTGTTGATTCAGATCAGTTCCTCTCCAGCTGAGGGAGTTTTTTGTACGACGTTGTATCACTGTGTGAACACATCCTGACTGCTGATTTCATGATAACTCTGACAGTAGTAAACTGCTGCATCTTCAGTCTGGACTCCACTGATGGTCAGAGTGAAGTCAGAGTTTGATCCACTGCCTGTAAAACGACCTGGAATCCCTGATGCTCGAGTGCTAGCAGCATAAATGAGCAGTTTAGGAGTTTCTCCATCTCTCTGTTGGTACCAGGCTAACTCATCCCCACCATAAACCGTCTGCCCCCCGTCGCCAAGTGCTTGCTCATGGTGGTACTGTTGGGTCTCTGTAAATGTTGTAATGTTATAAGGAGTTCGGTCTAGACCTTCTCTATTTGAGAGTGTCCTGAGATAACTTCTGTTATGAATTGGCGCTATACAAATTGAATTGATTAATCATATATTTGCATATCAGGTGGTTGCTGGGTTTAGACTATCTATATCTTTGCTATGGGAAATGTTCCTGCATAATACTTTGCCAAGTAGTATATTCCCTCATGGCTTGAGGTGCTCATAATGAATAGCCACACGGCAAAACCCACACATAGCAGTCCACTAGATAGTGTATTCCACTGGGGCCAAGATGCTTCAGGAGATTGATTCACTGATGGCGTCAGACTCCTTTTTTGGGGGGTTAAGGTATTTGTGCATCACTCCCCAATATCTCTATGTGAACATATCCGCGGGGAGTGATGAGGTCGGAGCCTAGACACCAGAATCTAAATATGCTATACTGCTTAATAAACATTCCAAACGTGAGTTGGCTGAATGAAATAAATAAAAAAAACGGGTGAAAAATGAGTATACAGCCTGTTTCCCACTGGACACTTTTTTGTGTGTTTGTGAGAAAGATGTGAAACAACATTGTTCACACACATTAAAAAAATACTTTTTCCATCAGAGTCAGTTTTAGAAAACTTCCTGAGCTCAAGGAGACACTCAGACGTGTGGGGGAACGTATTTTAATTTGGGTGGGGCTGAACTGGACACGTGTACAACAACTTATGTGGATGTTCATATTAATGTTTAGAAAAAACAACTGATATATGTTGGGAACTCTTTCTAGTTAAATCTAGACAGCTAAATCTCTCTCAAACATGTGATTGAGGATATTTAACCTCATCTGCTGAAGACTTGGTCAAACCTGCAAAACTGGAATGAAAAGAAATCTAAAATATACAGGCTGAACATGCATGGGCTGACTACCAAACTGCTCGCTCTCTCTCTCTCTCTTTCCCCCTCTTTCTCTCTCTCTCTCTCTCTCTCTCTCTCTCTCTCTCTCTCTCTCTCCTTGCTGTATTTTTTGAGTCTTCAGATAGTTCAAAACAACATCAACTCGAGTCTGACCTGTGGTCTCTCTCTCTTCCCCTGTTCTGTCTATATTGAGCTGTCTAATCAATGAAAAAGTCATAAAGCCCCAGAAATTATAATAAAAAGAGAAATGATGGTAGGTTTTATGTCTCTGAAAAAAATATAAAAAGGTCACAACATTTAACATGTTTAACTATCAAATACATTTCTGCTCAAGCTCCATTCAGTTGCTGTTCTGGAGCTTTTGATCAAATCCCATGGTCTTCCTCAGCAGATGGAGTTCACCCAGTTGTCATGGAATATTTTAACTTTGATGCCAACATGGACAAGAAGTCCTGAAAATGCTCAGAGGAATGGGAATTTGAACAACTACAATTCAGTGACAACTGGGAGACTCCATCTGCTGAAGAAGATCATGTGATATGATTGAAAGCTCCACAACAGTTAGTGGATGGATGTTGTACAGAGATTGTCTGGGTATTTCCAACGTCAACCAATAACTTTCAGTCTCAATGTCTTTGTGTGGTATTTTAGTTGCATATGAAAGAAAATGTGTTTTTTATGTTGATATATTTATATCACGTAGGTCACTTTTGTCTTGTTATGTCTCCAGTTAATCTTTATTTTATTTATCTATTTTAATACTTGAACATTTCTGATATTAGTCTTTATACTCTTTGTTAATTGGATGTAGTTGAAATAGCTGTGATCCAGAATAAAGCAGAGGTCAAAGGTCATGACCAAGACAGCTCTCATTAACTCTCTCATTGGCTTCGCTTTATAATTTTACAAACCAGATACATTTGTCACTGAATGTGTTTTAATACATGTTGACTGATGGTGTGTGTAGGTGTGTGTGTGTGTGTGTGTGTGTGTGTGTGTGTGTCCTCAGTGAAGTGTATCAGTCTCTGCAGTAGCTTCCAGCTGCAGCAGTCAGTTCAGTTTCTGTTCAGTCTGACTGAGGGAGGTTTTTGTACGACGCTTTTTCACTGTGTGAACACTCTCTGACTGTTGATATAGTGATAACTCTGACAGTAGTAAACTGCTGCATCTTCAGTCTGGACTCCACTGATGGTCAGAGTGAAGTCAGAGTTTGATCCACTGCCTGTAAAACGACCTGGAATCCCTGATGCTCGAGTGCTAGCATAGTAAATGAGCAGTTTAGGAGTTTCTCCATCTCTCTGTTGGTACCAGGATAAACGATCGGAGCTATAAACATTCTGACTGATCCTACATGTGATGGAGACGGAGCCTCCCAGAGCAGAGCTCACTGCTCCAGACTGAGTCACTGTGACCTGGCCTCTGGACTCTGAGGATACAGAGACAAAAACATAAAGCAGCGTCATGGTTTTGTGGGCTTCATTTCAGAGGGACGGATGTTCATAGAGGAGAGGAGTTTGATTCTCTGGACTTTACCTGTGAAGCAGCAGCAGAGGAGAGTCCAGATGAGGACGGAGATCAAAGTCATGTTTTTGATGAGGAGGATTTCTGTGTCTTCTGTTGTCATGAAGGACAGCTGTCAGTCATCCAGTGTTCAACTCTCAGGACTATAAACTCTCCCAGAGCACTGGAGCATGGTGCTGCTGATGCAAAGTGGCTCTCTATGGAAATGCTCTGACTGACTCCAACAGGGACTTGGATTCCTCTCATGATGCTGTTTATCAATGGATCAATCACTTTATCAGAGTATTGATTAGGAATGTGTCAGTGCTCATTTGTATGAGGCTTTGGTTTCAGTCTGATGGACACATTTTCTTCCAGAATATTTAGTGAATTCCCCCTAATTCACTACCACACAGATCAACATCACTGTGGGACACATTTAAACAAATATATTATTTTTATTTTATATTCATCATAATCTACAATAAACATGTGTTTATGATAACTATTTATCAGCATTTATTAGAGTGTGTTTCTATAGCAATATCTTATTTTCATGTTTTACTGAAAGAGAAATAATATTGGTTGTAGATTGACATTTCACAAAAACATAGTTAAATACACATTCATACTTATTATTAATTTATTAATTTATTTTAAATACTAAACTAGGTAAACTGGGAATGTGTTTTCTGAGTTTGTTTGTGTCAAAGTCAGAGAGCCGTGTCTCTCTACAGTGAGAGGTTTTTGTACGGCGGCTCAATGAGTTTGTATCACTGTGGTACACGTTCGGTGGAGGAACCAGACTGGAAGTTAACTGTAAGTACATTTGACTCCTTTAACAACAAATAATTTGTATGTATTCTGTTTTAATCTCATAGCTGTCGACCTTCATGGAATATTTTGCCTAATATTTGAAATCTAATGTGTTTCTAACAATTCATAAAGGCTTCAGAGTGTCATTAACCAGACTACAATCCACTCCAATTGATAATGTTTTGCATTAAAGCTTTAATTATCTACATTCTTATCAGTTAATTGTAGAAAACTACTCAGCAATACTCTGTAAGGAGAGAATGTCTTTAAGTTTAAGTTTTACTATTTTGGATCAAGAACTTTTTTTGTTCAGTGTTTAATGTGTATGGGTAATACTCCCAGAGTAACCATATGAAAGCCATTCCATATATTTTATTATGAGAATGTGATGAGTTTGAAGTAGTTCAGTAGTTAACTAAGTTAATTTGAATGTTTCTGACTGTTCAATGATGATTCCTGCTTACATGAAGAGAACAAACACATATCATCATTTATCAGGTTTTAGCTTGACACAAGAAATATTTGAGATGGTTAAAACAATAACAGCGTCACAATCTTCATCTCATGTTTAACAATGAATCTTTGACTTTTTACTTTATTATTTAAAAACTATACACTGGACTAAAAGTGAGCCAGTTTTAACTTTTTATCTTTAGTACTGAAACCTGTCTGTTGTCATGGTTCAGCAGTGGTGCCTGTCTGTTGCCATGGTTACTGAGCTCAGAGAGGGAACTGAAACATTTATGACCAGTTTCATTCAGCCTGAAGAAGACCATCAGAACTAGAAGCCTCCTCTGCTGCAACCAACAGGATGGAGTTCAGTTTACCTCATATAAACTTTATTAATCTCTCTCTCTGCAGTGGGTCGAGTCGTCCCCACCCTGACGGTGCTGCCCCCCTCCAGTGAGGAGCTGCAGCAGGGGAAGGCCACGCTCATGTGTCTGGCCAACAAGGGCTTCCCCTCAGACTGGAGTCTGTCCTGGAAGGTGGACGGCAGCAGCAGCAGCAGCAGCTGGGAGCAGAGCAGGAGCCCCGGGGTGCTGAAGGACGGCCACTACAGCTGGAGCAGCACCCTGAGGCTCTCTGCAGACCACTGGAGGAAGGTGGGCTCTGTGACCTGTGAGGCCACCCAGGGCTCCCAGACTCCGCTCTCAGAGACACTGAGGAGAGACCAGTGTTCCCAGTTCTGACCTGACTCACTGGGACTCTGATACTGGTTTTACTCTGCTACTGCTCTCTTTCTTTTTCTTTTTCTCATTACATATTTGAACAATAATGTGTTTTCAGCTCAATAATATTCATATGAGACAGTACAACTTCACCAAAGGACTCGACATTAAACGTCAGCTGAATTAACACATTGTCATCTTTCACTGCTTGCTGTAATACTGATGTTCCATTAAAGAATAAAAATATATTCATCAGATCAAATTTGTCAGTTTATCATTAAATACTGTATATTCATATTTGTATATATTGCTGTGTAAAACAGTGGATCCTTTTATTCCAAACACACTGAGTTGTCTCAGGGTCAGATAGCTGGATTTTAACATATCAGGTGATGATGTTAGAAATATTTCTCAGTGTCCTACTCTGTACTGAACTGTGCTGTGTCACATAATTTTTTGATGATTTAATCAACAAGAAGAGACTCACAATGTTTTAGATTCATAAACAGTGTTGATAATGATACATCATTTATGAAACCAATTCATTTTATTCTGTTGAGATCTCAAATTATTTCAACAAAAATTACTTTTTTTTTCAAAGCAAATGTAAAAAATATAAATATAAATATTGTCATTCCTAAACATTTGTAATTATTTTATAGATTCACTGAGTATATGTTTTTATGTTGCTCAGACTATACAGCTGTCATCTGATTGTCAGCAATCTTCTTTTTTTCATCAGGAATGGCACAAAAAATATGAAAAATATTTTCTTGTTGAAAGTTAAACAATGTATGTTAATCCATCATGTAGTGCTTTATTGTCTGTGCAGCTGTTGATTGAGATCAGTTCCTCTCCAGCTGAGGGAGGTTTTTGTATGACCCTTTTGCACTGTGTGGATATTATTCTGTTAAATTATATTGAACTCTGTATATAGTCTGTATTACCAAGGTGCATTTTGCATGTTCTTATTTGATACCATACATACAATTATTGGTGTGAAATGAATAGGATCAGAATATTCCTAAACATGTCTTCCAACAGGATAATACAATATTTTCTCCCTCATGGAAGTTTTCTGTTTGTTAAATCTGTTTCAGGGGACGGGTGGCCTTTCCCACATCCAATTTGTAAGAGAGGAGTTTCAACAAATAAACAACATTGTTGTTTATTCTTTCAGTTAGATTATAACATTCATTATGTTGCATTGCTCTGTTACTTCTAGATCTTTCTATCTTCATCCTTATCTTTATTCATATTATATATTCCTTGTTTGTGTAAAAACGTACTTGGCAATAAACCCGATTCTGATTCATATTCTGATTCTACTTACTCTCCTGTCATTCCAGATCCAGCCACTCTCTCCTGTCCTGCAGTAACTCTCACTCCGCCCTTTGCACCATCAGATCCTCCCTGCCCACTCACTCACCTTTCCAAATAGACCCTTTTCACAGAAGACATTTTGACTGATCAAAGCAGGTAAATCACAGGTGTAATAATAACATTAATACTGGCCCAATTTCATTCAGTGTCCCAGTAAGGCCTTTCAGTGAGTGAGCATGCACAGAACCAGAGCTCTGGGACTGGCTCACCTAAATGTAATGATTCATTAATCATTAATGTAATTAAATACACCTGTGCTTTTCCTGCTTTGGCAAGTCAAAATGTCTGCCATGAAAAGTGTCTATTCCCTTTATCAGTTCAGTAGCATGTGTGTGTGTGTGTGTGTGTGTGTGTGTATGTGTGTGTGTGTGTGTCCTCAGTGAAGTGTATCAGTCTCTGCAGTAGCTTCCAGCTGCAGCAGTCAGTTCAGTTTCTGTTCAGTCTGACTGAGGGAGGTTTTTGTACGACGCTTTTTCACTGTGTGAACAACCACTGACTGTTGATGTTATGACCACCCATACAGTAGTAAACTGCTGCATCTTCAGTCTGGACTCCACTGATGGTCAGAGTGAAGTCAGAGTTTGATCCACTGCCTGTAAAACGACCTGGAGTCCCTGATGCTCGAGTGCTAGTATAGTAAATGAGCAGTTTAGGAGTTTCTCCATCTCTCTGTTGGTACCAGGATAAATAGTAAGAACTATAGATGTTCTGACTGGTCCTACATGTGATGGTGACGGAGCCTCCCAGAGCAGAGCTCACTGCTCCAGACTGAGTCACTGTGACCTGGCCTCTGGACTCTGAGGATACAGAGACAAAAACATAAAGCAGCGTCATGGTTTTGTGGGCTTCATTTCAGAGGGACGGATGTTCATAGAGGAGAGGAGTTTGATTCTCTGGACTTTACCTGTGAAGCAGCAGCAGAGGAGAGTCCAGATGAGGACGGAGATCAAAGTCATGTTTTTGATGAGGAGGATTTCTGTGTCTTCTGTTGTCATGAAGGACAGCTGTCAGTCATCCAGTGTTCAACTCTCAGGACTATAAACTCTCCCAGAGCACTGGAGCATGGTGCTGCTGATGCAAAGTGGCTCTCTATGGAAATGCTCTGACTGACTCCAACAGGGACTTGGATTCCTCTCATGATGCTGTTTATCAATGGATCAATCACTTTATCAGAGTATTGATTAGGAATGTGTCAGTGCTCATTTGTATGAGGCTTTGCTTTCAGTTTGATGGACACATTTTCTTCCAGAATATTTAGTGAATTCCCCCTAATTCACTACCACACAGATCAACATCACTGTGGGACACATTTAAACAAAATGATTCAGTTCAATTCATATGTATTTATTTTATATTAATCATGATCTAAATTTGTTTTCATACATTTGTCAGGATTGACTAGAGAGTTTTTCTTTAGAAATATCTTATTTTAATGTTTTAATGAAAGAAAAAGTAAGAAGGCATATTTCACAAAATACATATATATATTCCTTGTTTATGTTTTAGAAACTTTAACCAATTATTACAGGAACTGGGTAAACTGGGAATGTGTTTTCTGAGTTTGTTTGTGTCAAAGTCAGAGAGCCGTGTCTCTCTACAGTGAGAGGTTTTTGTACGATGGCTCAATGAGTTTGTATCACTGTGGTTCACGTTCGGTGGAGGAACCAGACTGGATGTTGGAAGTAAGTAAAATTATTAAAACTTTTATAATTTCAGGACATACTTGTCCTTTTTTGAAGATTTCAGGAAGAATTCTCGATTTTTCATATTAATGTATATCTTCTGCACGAATACTTTTCACTCAGAGACAAACTGCATCAGGAATATAAATTCAAAACCTCATTGAAGTTAATTTAAAATATCAAGACAGAATATGAATCAGCATTTCCAACTTTAATGGTAAAAGTTTCATCTTGAGGGTTTGTAGGTTTAGTTCAGTGTGTTAAAGTCAGAGAGCCGTGTCTCTCTAAAGTGAAAGGTTTTTGTACAGCGGCTCAATGAGTTGGTATCACTGTGGTTGACTTTTGGTGGAGGAACCAGACTGGATGTTGGAAGTAAGTTTCTGTACAAATACTAAATACAATATTGTAAAGTAAATTATTTTTTAGATATTTGAAGCAGACAGATATATCTTGTTTTAATTTGAACACTTGAAGTATTCATATTTGTACTTGTCCTCCTTCATCATGGAGGCTAACTCTTTGTTCTTTACACATTCCTGTCAAACTAAAATTCAACAACTTGAAGTGTAGAAAAGATAAAACTGCAAACCTTGTTGTACAAATGTTGCATTTTTAAGATTCATAGTCTCTTCATAGTGTTATATGTTGTTTTAAAGTTACAGTTTGGTAATGATGATTGAAATCCACATGAAGAACATTTGATTGTAGTCAGTTCATTTTCTGTGTTTGTTCATGTTTCCACTAAATACTTTAAAGTAATGTATAGTTCAGGTTTTGGATGATTTTGATGATACAGATTTTGATATTTTATTTCCAGTGTAGTTTGATATATTTCAGCTCATTCTGTATGATGATTCTCTCTGTGCTGATATGCATGAGAGGCTTCTTAAAGGGAAGTGAAACAATGTGTGAGTGAGTGACTGGTGGAGCAGAAAAACCATCTGACAGAAACTCCTTAAAGGAGAAAATCAACTCTCACACAGTAAAGGTGTCCAAGTGTCTGCTGCTTGATTGACAGCTGTGTGGTCCCTGTCCTCTAAGCTGATTGGTGTCTCCTAGGTGATGTCCGTCCCACCCTGACGGTGCTGCCCCCCTCCAGTAAGGAGCTGCAGCAGGGGAAGGCCACGCTCATGTGTCTGGCCAACAAGGGCTTCCCCTCAGACTGGAGTCTGTCCTGGAAGGTGGACGGCAGCAGCAGCAGCAGCAGCAGCTGGGAGCAGAGCAGGAGCCCCGGGGTGCTGAAGGACGGCCACTACAGCTGGAGCAGCACCCTGAGGCTCTCTGCAGACCACTGGAGGAAGGTGGGCTCTGTGACCTGTGAGGCCACCCAGGGCTCCCAGACTCCGCTCTCAGAGACACTGAGGAGAGACCAGTGTTCCCAGTTCTGACCTGACTCACTGGGACTCTGATACTGGTTTTACTCTGCTACTGCTCTCTTTCTTTTTCTTTTTCTCATTACATATTTGAACAATAATGTGTTTTCAGCTCAATAATATTCCTATGAGACAGTACAACTTCACCAAAGGACTCGACATGAAAAGTCAGCAGAATTAACACATTGTCATCTTTCACTGCTTGCTGTAATACTGATGTTCCATTAAAGAATAAAAATATATTCATCAGATCAAATTTGTCAGTTTATCATTAAATACTGTATATTCATATTTGTATATATTGCTGTGTAAAACAGTGGATCCTTTTATTCCAAACACACTGAGTTGTCTCAGGGTCAGATAGCTGGATTTTAACATA